TCGTTGTGTTCACTCCCAGGGGAACTACTTCGAGGGTGATGGATGAATTTAATACCTGAGATAAGTGTACGGGTTTTTATAGGCGCAGTCTTGAAACTTTCCGATCGCACCTCGTAAAATTAGAATCACGGAGTATACTCAAGCCTACAATTGGGAATGACAATTAACATGAAATTACTAATCCTAGTGGCAATGTGATTAGAAAATTATGTTCCCGAACGTAAAAGAACAGTATAGTGTTTCGACGTCACAGAATTCATAAACACGCTTCGACGTCTTCTGATGGACACAAGACGACAATCAAGTACACTCGAAATTTCGGTCTTTTAAAAGGTCTGGGCGTGTTCACTATTTGGTGGTTGCAGTCTTAAAAATGTATCAAACCGCTAGATGTACGTATTGGTCTGTCTGTAGCAGGTTGTTTATTTGTTCAGAAATAAATAATTACGCCCGAAAGCGTATTAAAACGCAGAAATCTGCATCGTGCGTATTCCCACAACATTACACAGCCAAGACGTGAGACACCTCAGTTCGCAGAAATTTGTAATAACACAGAGCGCCGTGGTTCGGAGCCCGGAACACGTGTCTCCTTTTTATAGCAGCGAAGGGTTGAGTGGCGGTCGACTTACGTCTCCCTATTTTAAGACTGGCATCAATACAGGAATAGCTCTGCCCGCAGGAGCGATCCGTCTGGGAATCTATTGTGTTCCTCTCAGAATTGTGGCCTTTTAGAGACCTCAACGACCTTGGTTCAGCTCCAGGCCGATTCAAGTGTTCCTACTAAATCAGCTGTCGACAGTCTCAAAATCTACCAGAAATGCTCATAGTTTTTAGCGTCTTAATTCCAGCGTTTCCTTTGTCAGTAGGTTCTGTAGTCACAAGTGGAGTCACTTTCGAAGCTCACGTGGTCCTACGTCTGTGTCACGCCTCGGAAAAAACTGCTGAAAGTCTTTCGTCAGAGTCCTTTCAACCACTCACCCCATCTAGTTCCGAGGTTAAGAACTAGTAGGAGCTATATTACCTCTCCCCCCGCCAAGCGGCCTATATGGCGTATAGTGGGACAGCTTTAGTTTTTACACAAACCGACGTTTCAGAGGAGGTCATTCTTCATCGCCCTGCTCCTGAACGTCGGTACAGAATCTGCACGGCGCTACGTCCCAGAGGACAGTCATCTTCTCCTCACTTGTCTCCGGCCATGAGAACCTCAGATTAAACGAGTTTTGGGTGCGTGAAGATCACAAGCAAATAGGTCGTACGACAAGACCCAATTTTCAATCTAGCCACAGGGAAACAATAAATACTACAAAAATATAAGTCTCACAGGAAAGGACAGACTTGTAGAATTGATGATGGTGTTAAAATGTATTCGACGAATGTTAACTGGATTTAAGTATCTGAGAATTAGGTCCTTGTCATGGTGGTGATCTACCTTCGACTCCTAAATAGCATAGAATTCCCCGAACAGCCAACTTTTTTTCAAGCCTGTACCACAAACTTGTTTAGGTGACTGAGAAGGGGGGGGAAAGAACATCGTTTACAGAGCTCGGGTACTGTTTGGTATTAGTCGAGTTTGTTTCTTCCGGAACAGGAATCCTGTGAAGTACTGAAGGTCGTCGTATTAGGTAATGCCCGTGGGTCGCTATCGACGACTTCTATTGGTTAAGTATTTATGTGCAGAGTCTAGCTGGGAATTAGCATCTTTTTTACTCTCCGTTCATCAGTTATTTGTAAATGTCGATAAGAGCATTTATATAATAAATCTAAGGTCATAAATTCCATGAGACTCTTCGACAAATATCACGTACCAATCAGAAATCTTTATTATGACAGAGCACGATTTATCGATATAATATGCAATGTCGATTGCTTGATAGTTATTTGAGCCTTGTATGATAATATTTACGAACGTGTGTGCTGTTACTACCGTACTAAAGTTATCCCACGATACGCCATTTAGGCGCTTGGGGGGGGAGAGGTAATATAGCTCCTACTAGTTCTTAACCTCGGAACTAGATGGGGTGAGTGGTCAGCGTCACACCATTGTGCGATCATTTGCTGTTAACGGATTCTGGCCTTTATTGGAAAATAGTTTAACTGTTGGCACGTTAATGCTGATAAGATGAGCCTGCTGTTTATGTACAACAACAACATTTATTATAACCTTAATAAAAGATCATAGTTGAGATAAGTAATGTAAGTTTGTGCAAATTTCTGCATATAATAATCCAGATATCTGGTCGGACGTTCTGTAACAGCACGCTGCTTTGGTCGAACTCCTGTGACCCATGTCTTATTTTAAGTCAGCGGTGTAAAATTTGGCAGTGAACCGGTTTCTTACTTTCGGCCAGACCGTTCTCAGGGAAGTAATTCATTACTGCCATCTGTATTTGGCCAGTTCCGATTTTAATTTCACATTAAAATCTGTGATCACGTATTGATATGTCTTATATATGGTCATGTTGGTATTACTTATGCCATATAGGACAGTTTTATAGGAGCAGAGTTATATAAGCATTTATTATGGTGTAATTATAATATGTTATACATTATTAATCATTAATTAACAGTAGTATTCATTTGCAAGGATTTTAAACTTGGTGCATTTCTAAATTGTAAATCGGTATTTCCCCTATGTTGTCTGTGATATATTTTGATCAGAGTCATTACGAAACATTGAACCGGTCCTAAATCCGCGATGCTCGATAAATAATTCATTCTGAACGGAACTGATGAATTAAATTTTAGAAAATCTTGACATGACGATTAGACTGTGTTAGTAGCTTCAAAGATACCAGAGAGAAAGAACACTTTATCCAGAATTTTGATGCTCGGTTACGATGTTGAACCAACAGGTGTAATGTCCCGACATCTGTCGCTGTCTCATGCTGTTCGTTTCTACACAAAAATGACTCAATGTCTGTATAGTATCGATCTCGCTTTAGAATTCAGCATGACTGTCATGTAAGTAGCGACTTCGACGTATGTAACTTTAAACGGATTAAATGGTACAACGACCTTGAAACCTTTTTCCTTAACGAAAATCGACCAGTTCGTTGTAGAAACTCAGAGTCGGCGATGGGGATGTCCTCATTCCGGGCGACTACTTTCCGTGTCACGTGAAAACAGAAATGTGAGGGCCGACTGTACAGTAAATTCCAGGAAGATGATTCTTACCAACAGTCGTCGTCATGGTGACGGCGTGTGTCAGGTGGATCGCTCCGCCCCGAGGTCCCCTCTTCCTTTCCACCCCCTCATGGCTCACTCGTACACTGGCAAGATTCCCACAGTCAGCATCTTGACTTGCCAAAAAAAAAATTGGGGTCTCCTTGCTTACGCACTAGACATTAGCATTATCACGTCTGTACTTTAACTTGTTACGATAACATCTCGTCAAAGATTCTCACTTTACGATCATCCACTGTACTTAAATCTACGGATTTCCTAAGACTAAATTTCTTGTTTTACGATCAATTCACTATACTTTATCTTTTAACCTTATTTTACTTACGTATATTTACGAATACACTTAATTATTTCACTTAGTACAGTCATTGCCGAAATGTGTAGTCTGACATTATATTTGTGTCAATTTTAATAATTTCAAAACGTTTAGCTAGGATTTCGGTTCTGCTAAGCCTGAGTACCGTGTTGTAAGGTTTCTAAAATCACTCCGGAAGAATAATTATAAACAAATATATAAAACAATTTTTCTGTACAATTTATAACTGTTTTTTTTCCCGTAATCACATAAACGTCCTTTTCTGGCTTTAAAGCAACGTGTCCTCTCTGAAATTTATACCACAGAAAGAGTTTATGAACACACTTGCCCTCGTTGGACGTAGCGATTTTCGACACTGCACACACACTGCACTCTAGCGGACGAAAGGGAATGCGCGTAATGATCGCTCGCTGTCTGTGCCGTAGTAAGACGCGAACGAGAGCTTCTGACGAGACGCCTAGGTTGTACGTCCAACGGCGCACACTCCACACACACACACACACACACACACAGAGATGCTTTTTATAATTTCGCTTTTACTATTTGTCTAGTGGATATAAAAGTCTATCCCTGACACATTCAATGTTATCGATTTATATCGATAGGAACTGAGTTCGACTTCAAAGCACGAAAGATGTAATGTCCTTCATGGAGCCGAGTCCTTGTTTACAAGCTGACAGCCGCTCACCTATCCAAAAATTTACACCTTTCATGGAGTCAGAAATTTTCTTAAGAATTAATAACAGCTCGGCAGGGATACCTATCCGCAGGCTAATTTTAGATCCATTTTAATATTGTGTTCCCGACTACGTCTCAGTCGTGGACATACTGTCGTCCCTTTAGGCTTTCCAATTAGATTTTTATGCCATTTATAATCTCCTCCATGCACACAAATGCCTCAACTCCGTTGAGTTTATCATCCTGATATTTTTTGCAGAGTAAAATTGAGGTTATGTCAGCCTAAAAGATCTCATTATTATCTCCCGTTGCCGACATAAAATAATAATCAGGAGATACATAATCTGATCTGAGGTGTTTATATGCTTGTTCATTGTTTGTGATTAGCTCGTTGTGATGAACCCCGCAGAGTACGTGCCCCCCTGAACACGAGGACAGATCCAGTCCTCGAAACAATAGCCCAGTTACAACCCAGAAGACAGCCATCTTCGTACTTACTTCCGTGAAAAACCTCAAATTCTACAAGCCAGAATATTTTGTCTAAGTTTCACAGTTCGAATGTTACACCTGCCGAGAATTATTCAAAAAATACTAATAACATCTTCGTGGCATTTATTAAGCCTATTAATTATTACGAAATCCGCTGTGTTGTGTTTTAAATACATGGGTTGATGAGTGAACAGTCTTTTGTTTTAGTTCTCTGTTTCAATAAAGCAGCGTATAGAAGTAAAAATTAAGTAATATTGTGTAACAAATGTTAATATCATTGTTTGTCTCCTCTTAATTAAAGCGTATAATACGATTTCATATCCAACAATCTCAGATATGATGTACGTTAAAATAATTACTGTATCGTAATGCACGTACGTATTAACATTATTATTAACAGAATTACCATTGCAAATGTTATAACATTGTCTCATCAAGCCCAAGATACCTTAACAACAAATGATGACCAACGAACATTGCTTATTATATGGATTTAGAATCGATTTGATAGGATGGTTAACGTTTTATATCAAAACGGTACATTTGCTGGTTTACTTAATTGTAATCTAACCTCAAATGTGTGAAGAATGTTCGATAGTAGATCGGTTCATTTGTTATCTAAGAAGTAGAATTACAAGGTACAGCACTGAACAATTGAAATACAAACATAGGCGAGTGACATGCAATTGAAATCTCGTGATACAGACAGAGATTGTGGAGGGCCATTTGAAGTACTTGGGGACGATACTGACAAAATCAGGAGGAGATTAAATTCAGGAAATGCTTGCTATTATTCAGTTCAAAATCTTTTGTCCTTTCGTCCCATATCAAAAAATCTAAATATTAAAATATACCGCTTGGAAGAAACGTTACGATGGACTTTAAAGGAGATAGGAATCGAACGAGCGAACCGGATGCAGTTAGCTCAGTATAAAGTCCGGTGGCGGGTTCCATAAGTAAGCGGGCTATTCTTTAACAAGCCGAGGACACACAGTTGACTTTTCAAAAAAAATTCCTGCCCCATGGAGTTAGTGAGTAAGAAATATGTTATATAAGCTATCCTCAAGAATTAGGATTTAGCTTTACAGACTAATTATTTTTTTCATATTCATTTCAAGGAACGTTACACGTGATGACGGGCGAGCTCGACAGAGCTGGTGTAGTTTGCTAATTAATGGCATGTGCCATCTAGCGATGATTCCGTTTGTCCCGACGCCATTTGAAGCGTATACCAGAGCCACCTGCTGTAACTGCTACGAACTGAGTGCTCATAGACTAACCTCACATTGGTACTCGACTGGCGAGTAGCAAGGTTATAATTGAAAGTTTGTTGGAACGCAGTAGGATTTGAGGTCATTGAAACTTGACGCTGAGACAGGGTAAATACCTCCGGGGGTCACAAGACTAAATGTGCCGGCAGGAAAACGTACATTTAAACGTAACTTCCTTCAGAATTCTAACACCAGCTGCAAGGATAATTGTGTTCACACCCTCGCTAACCACGAAATGGATGACAGTGTTCCTCGTTCGTGTATGACTATCAGAGAGCAGCCATATTTGGACTGCTCTGCTGTCATGCAGCCCGCGTTGCCGGATCTACCGCACATAGTGAGTACCACTTCCCCCTTGCTACATTTGCACACGGTAGGGTCTCGATTTTTTAATGTCCTTATTTAAATCGCCCTCGGTAACTAAGTATTGAACCCTGAGGGCGGGGCTTCCGCAGAGAGAGCGAGCGAATATTTTGGGAGCGACGGGCTGGCGAGCGGACCAGCAGCGCCGGTCGAGTCGTGCTTAGAACAAAGCATGATACAACACAAAGATTTTGTTGCAGTTATCAAACTGACAGTGGGTTACAAATTCCAGGATGTCGCTTAGAAATAATAAGGTAACGAAAGAATGTAGTCATCATTCTTTTTTATTACAGCATTGTTTGGGAAAAGTACACGAAATGAGTTATTTGAAATAATAAACAAATAATCTGAACTCTCGCCTCAGTGAATAATCGCAGTGTGTCGATTTTTGCATCCATTAAGCCACCTCATTGTCAATATTCTTCTATTAGGTTCTTCACGTAGGATCATCAGTTCTTCTTTGTACTTTTCCACAAAACATCTGCATTGCCTTATAATTCGTAGACATTCGTGCTTGTGCCATTCTATTGTTGTGCCTTCCCAAGCCAATTTGTTAGGATTTACATCGGGATGGTAAGGAGAAACGTGCTTCCATTCTCTTTGATCAGATCGTCGATTTCAGCAACAACAATGAATCAGTCCTTCATCCCTAATTGAGAAGCAAATGGAAACAAGTCAAGTTCTACCAGTTTACACGGCACTACAACTCAGAGGACAGCAACCTTCACACTCACTGCCGTGAGAATCTCAGATCCTGCATCCATTTAAGTTGTTCTTTATTGAAATATTCACTGACGTACCTTCATTTAATATTTATTAGATTTGAATGAATAAAAATTAGCAAATATCCTCCAGCAAAGTTATTTATAGTACTAAATCAATTCCAGGTACGTCTCGGGAGCTTGATGATTGTCCAAAAAAAGAACATTTTGGTGAAATTAACTACGAAGTATTAATATTTCTCAAACCTAATAACCTGTATATTTCTTAATACAGATATTTCTTAAAAAATTTGTTGGCCCAGGACAGGGTCCGGTAAAGGTCAATGGTGAATTCGGTGTTCGCGTTCTGTAAGCCATCCAGTTAGTTAAACTAGTTCTTAAACAACCAACAGACCCTCATGTGGATCGACGAAAGATTAATAAATTGCAATTTACAGACACAAGTTCATGCAAAATTCTGTTCCACAGAGAAAAGACCCGCACTTATAAATTGTACTAATAATTACAAGTGACGTCATCAGCGCGGAACTGAAGAACATTGGAACGACTTTCTGTGAATGACTCATCTACTGGAACGAACTTGGTTGAACTGGGTCCGACTAGTTCGTGACACCGCCTTCCGCAAAGTCGGTTTCTGGAAGGAAGATACTAAATCATCGAATGTTGGCCAGACAACTGGCTCTGTGTTGAGCCGATTTTATAGCAGCTGTGACGAAATAAAAACCGTTTCAAGGTCACGGAACAAGTTCATTTCCCCCAACCTCTTTTCGCGCGACGCCATGATTATCTTGCTACGTTGCCAGCTTCCGTATGCTGTGAAATGTAAGTTGTAGGCACTGGCCGCAAGATGGCGGTCAAGACTAGGCAAGCTTATTTGTCAGTGGCGAGCAGGATAATTTGAATTTTTGACTCGGGAGTGAATGTGTAAACAAGTCTATTATTAAAGATACCTTTGAAAATGTAATTTATAAAATACCTCCCTCCACAAATTCCTGTTGCGTTGTTCTTCCACTTAGTATCTTGTCCGACGGTCTGCAGACGCTACGGAGATGACCGAATGACGTTTCGAAGCCATAGTCTCTTGGATGCAACGACAAAAATCCATTCTTCGCTGGATATTTTCACCAAATAAACTGTACAGAACTAACGAATTTTCTCATTTGTTATGACAGATTTATAAGTAAGCCTATATCTTAACATTTACCAAAATGCGGAGGGGGGGGAGGGGATACCGAAATTTCTGGAAGATGTTAACATCATAAAAATTCTCTGTGCACTGCCATGGCTCTGCATAGTGACAGCATGTTTTATGTTTTTAAAAGGTTTTTTTGTGTGTGGTCGTAGTTCATTTGTATAGGCCTAAACCAATAATTGTAGAATAAAACAAGACGACACGCACAAGTTGAGAAATTTTTGTGTAGAAGACAAAAAAATTTCGAATGTCTGTCAAAACATACAATTCGTGAACCCTTCAAAAATTTAAGGTCGGCTGACCCCTCAAAATAAGGAAGGTAAAACAAAAACATGGTTCGCTTCCTTTGTTAGAATTTGTTGTTTGTTGTGAAGTCCGGAGAAGTGGGTATCGAACTCGAGGGTGATGGCTCGCCAGTCAGCTTTATCGATCCGTGCCTGGTCGATTGTTCTGGACGGAGGGCTCGCACGTTTAATGCGTTGCTGTTGGCGTCTGGTATTCTGAATGGAAGGAAGCTTTGTCGCTGTCTTCATAACCTTCGTGATTGTGCAAGTAAGTTCCGTGTGCCTTCTTTTGTTTACCTGTCGTCACCTTTGCTGCATATAGATACGACTGTTTGTTTTGATATTTCGATTTAGCAACAGCTGCCTTCTGGTCTGTTTGTAAACATTGTGCTGCTACAATGGAGCGACTATTTTAAAGTGGATTTGAAGCGTCCTCGTTTTAATTTGATGATTGTCATTGTAGTGAAAATAATACAATAAAAACATGTTTTTTTACCGTCGACAGTTAAGCTGTTTAAGAAATATTAAAAGGATTTAACACGTAGTATGAGTCGAATTACGCATTGCACTTCTTATAGAACCATGTTTATTTTATTGTGTAAATGTTTATTATCTGTATGTTTTTGTCAGTATCTTTTTAGAACATTTTTATGTGAAACTTGAATTAAAGAATAATATATATCATTTTAAAACCATAAAGTTATCTGCTTCAGGTATGAAAAATACCTCAACGCTAACAGTGGGAAAAAAAAAATAAAAATACTTACCATCGTCAGTATCTCGATGTTATAATCCGATAACAAATATTAACATTTCCAAATTAAGTTTCTAAAGCAGACGGAAATGGGTATCATAGGAAGAATAATATTAATTCTCGTGCAGTGTTAAAATAATGTATTAATTTTTAGTCGTCGCTAATGACGTACGTGCAAGAGGCTGCCCAAATTGTATGATATTAAAAAGAAGTTTGGGGTAGATAACTTGTGTTTAGTAATCATGATGGCGTATTGCGTGTAGGCTAAGTATTTTTAATATCGACCTGTGGCATAATGGAGAATATATGACACGTGCACCTCAATAACAGATGTAAAACTCTATTAACTTCGCTCCATACAATGGAATTTGTGTAAGTTTAATTGTATTTTATGTTCTGGTGGCAGTAAGAGTCCACATTGTAGTCCTGTGGTTCGCTGGCCTTGTCTTGTAACAGGATTTGGATCGCTAACAGTCCATTTTATCTTGATCCAAGTTTAAAAAGGATCAGAGTGTGAAGATTTCTGTCTTCTGGGTTGTTGCGCTGTGCAGTCTGGTCGATGTTTACCAACGTTTCAGAGGTCATACTGCCTTCATCATCAGAGTATGAAGATTTCTGTCTTCTGGGTTGTTGCGCTGTGTAGTCTGGTAGATGTTAACGTTTCAGAGATCATACTGCCTCCATCATCAGAGTATGAAGATTTCTGTCTTCTGGGTTGTTGCGCTGTGTAGTCTGGT